CTGATTTTTTTTTTCAATTTCTTTTTTTGAGTCAGAGTCTCACTCTGTTGCTCAGGCTGGAGTGCAGTGGCACGATTACAGCTCACTATAGCCTCAATCTCCCAGGTTCAGGCCATCCTCCTGCCTCAGCCTCCCGAGTAGCTAGAACTACAGGTGTGCACCACCACGCCTGGCTAATTTTTTTATTTTTTGTAGAGACAAGATTGCCCAGGCTGATCTCAAACCCCTTGATCCAAGCAATTCTGCTGTCTAGGCCTTCCAAAGTGCTGGAATTACAGGCATGAGTCACTGCACCTGGTCTTCCATGGTCCAATCTATTTTTTAATTTTTTTTTGAGTTGGAGTCTCACTCTGTCGCCCAGACTGGAGTGCAGTGGCTGCTCCCGGCCACCGCAACCTCGACCTGCTGGGCTCCGGCAATCCTTCCGCCTCAGCCTTCCGAGTAGCCGGAATTACAGGCGCGCGCTACCCCGCCCGGCTGATTTTTTGATTTATTGTAGAGATGAGGTCTCACCAAGTTGCCCAGGCGGGTCTCGAACCCGCGGGCTCAGGCAATCCACTCACCTCAGCCTCCCAAGGCGTGGGATTACTGGCTGAGCCACCAAGCCCGGCTGGTCCAATATTATTAATTGATTCTTAGTAAACACCCTCGCAAACCTTGCTGTGGCCTCTGTCACATTCCATTTGTTCTTCAAAAATTGAGCATCTCTCACATGCTGACCACAATATTACAAGCATTGAGGGTGGAGAGATGAACAGAACACAGTTTCTGCTGTGTCCTAGACCCACGCCTGGCGAAGGAGAATAACACGAACAGGAATAGTGAGGCTTAATAAAAATATGTGGCTGGGCACCAAATGTATGTTGGCCACCATGCCTGGCTGATGTATACGTGTTGAATGCACGAATGAAAATGCTTTGAATTCATTGGTCACGGGGGCTAATGCCTGTAATCCCAGGACTTGGCAGGGGAGGCGTGAGAATTACCTGAGCTCAGGGATCCGAGACCAGCCTGGTCAACTGGGAGAGACCTCATCTCTACAATAAACCAAAAAAATTAGCCAGGCATGGTGGTGTGCACCTGTGGTTCCAGCTACTTGGAAGGCTGAGGCAGAAGGATCGCCTGAGCCCAGCAGGTCAAGGCTGCGGTGGCTGTGAGCATGCCACTGCACTCAGTCCTGGGTGACAGAATGAGACTCCGACTCAAAACAATAAATAAATAAGAAAACGCCTTACATTCATAGTAGTCAGCTCATGGAAAGCAGAATGTCGGTGGAAGGGGTTAGGGTGTTGGAGTTACACTGTTGTTTGTTTTTGAGTCGGAGTCTTACTTTGTCACCCAGGCTGGAGTTCAGTATCACACTCATGGCCACTGCTGCTACCGTGAATTTTGGTGTATATTTTTGTATACACATATCTTTTCATTTCTTCCTGGAAAATACCTAGGAGTGAAATGATCAGACCATATAATAGGTATGTGTTTAACTTCTTAAGAAATAGCCAAATTGTTTTCTAAATTGACCGTACCACTTTACATTCCCACCAGGTATTCGATTCCTGGTTGCTCTACATTCTTGTCAACACTTGGTATAGTCAGTCTTTCTAATTTTAGACATCTAATACGTATGTAGTGGTATCTCATTGTGGTTGTAATCTGCATTCTCCTAGGGACTAGTAACGTTGAGGGTTTTTTTCCTTGCACTTATTTTCCATGTGTATGTCTTTTTATGTAAAGTGTTTGTTCATATCTTTTGCAACATTTTTTTGTTAAATTGTTTCCTTTTTATTTTTTAAATTTTTAAAAAAATTTAGCTTCTTTAGAGATGGAGGTCTCATTATGTTGCCCAGGTTGGTGTCGAACTCCTAGCCTCAAGCAATCCTCCCACCTCAGCCTCCCATAGTGTTGGGATTACAGGCATGAGCCACCACGCTCAGTACTTTGGTCCTGTTTTAAATTTTTATTTTTATTTTTTGAGTCAGAGTCTCACTCTGTTGCCCAGGCTGGAGTGCAGTGGCCTGCTCATGGCCACTGCAGTCTCAACCTACTAGGCTCAGATGATCCTTCTGCCTAAGCTTTCCAAGTAGCTGGAACCATAGGTGCGCACCACCACACCTGGATAATTTTTTTTTTTTTTTTTTGAGTTGGAGTCTCATTCTGTCACCAAGGCTGGAGTGCAGTGG